TTGCTTACGGGCGGACAGTTTTGTTAACAAGACAATTATTTTATCTTTCAAGAACCTTTGTCAGTTAAACCTCCTACATGTAGTATGTAGGAAATTAATGTAATTATTGCACTCTTCAGTAAACAGATTAAGAAATCAAGAAACTGTGGATTCAAAAGTTTACTATTAATCTCAGTTGACTATTTGATATCTGACATATTATTCCATTTTAATGGATCATATCTTTGCTTTAGTGCACCCGAAGTAATATTGGACCCAATGCGCTCGGAAACGTGCAAGTATGTACAAAATAAAATTTACTAAGATGTCTATGTCAATGTTTATATGGCAAATTATTAAAATATATTCTTAATAAATACTGATGAAAATATAATATCTACTGTGTTTTGAACACATGAAAACATAATGTTTCAAAGGCAGATATCGAAAAGGGTCTATTCTTAAACCCACAAATGTTTTGAACCTATGTTTTTATAACGCGAAATTTTACTAGAAAACCTTATAGAACACTTTATAGAAAACATTATTCACTTTAATTTGATGTAGAGTATAGTATTCATTGTTAACGAGATTCATGCAAAAACAAAAATAGGGGAAAACCACCATGAAAAGTTCACTCCTCCTGCGGCTCATCCCTCGCACTTCAGGATTTTTACTATAATGTGCGGTAGGTAACAACAATCATGGCAGGTTTGCAAACTGCGGAACTTTTTCCATTGATCATCAGTTTTTACTTTCCCGACTCCATAAGTATTTACGGAGTTATACTCGCAGAACAGGAAAAGTTATGTTAAGTTACGCGAAAAATCGGCGGATTTTGGGCAGAAAAAAATTATTGGCGGGCTCTGATAAGGAATAAGGATAAATACAGAGGTTTAATTAAGAAAAAATCATCTACCACGTGGTGTAGCTACAATCTCTGTTTTGTGAGTCCTTGATACCAAAAAATCAATTGACAGCAAAACGTGTGTCTGCCTGTCCGTCTGTGAACACTATTGGCGCCTAAACCTTGCGTAGGATTTTTTCAAAATTGATTTTTCTGTCCATCTGACTGGAGTGAAAGCTTTGACATTTTGAAAAAATATTAAAAATTTGAGGGTTCTTTACAAGAAGCTCCCGGTAATTTTCAAAATTTTCTCAAAAGCGCATCCAATTTTTTTCTTTACATGTCTTGGAAGAATAGATTAAAATACTCTTATCAAGGTGCATAGGCCCAGTTTTCACTAATAACTTTTTTTCAAGTATTATACAAATGCATTTTGTTTTGAAATATCTCTCACACAATTAATATACAGAGTTCCAACAATTTGTAAACAGTATTGTATTTGTGAATTACATTATTTAAAATGATTTTAAATGAAGTTTTCCTCACAGTAAAAAGCCGGCTGACAATGGAAACCGACCTACGCGCGCAAATGGACAACGATTCACGGAAAAATTCAAAACTGCCACTGGGAATGTCAGAGGGTTAGGAATAAAAGAACAGGAATTAGAAAACATTTTAAAAGAAAAGAATATAAATATATTAGTAGCCACTGAAACAAAGAAAAAGTTAAAAGGAACTAAAGATTTAGATACCTACTGCATGCTGTACAGTGGAGTACCCCAAAATGTCAGAGCAAAAGTAGGAGTAGCCTTGTTTATAGATAAGAACTGGAAAAATAAGATAGAAAGTTACACCTTTGTAAATGAAAGAATAATAAAAGCTCGAATAAAAATATGTAGAGGATATCTAACAATCATAGGAGTATATGCTCCGGAAGAAGGCAGGAGAGAAGACACAGAAACATTTTATGAACAACTACAACAGGAAGTACACAAAACTAATAAAAACGATCACTTAATAGTATGTGGAGATCTAAATGCTAGAGTGGGAAACTCACCAATCCCAGATATTGTAGGAAATTGTGAAGAATATTATATAAACATGAACGGTCGGGAGCGGAGACAATTTACCAGCACGAATCATCTTAAAGTGACAAATGCCTTCTTTTGAAAGAAAGATATTCACAAATACACATGGACAGCTAAAGGATATAGATCGACAATAGACTACTTTTTAATAAATGATAAACTAAGACCTCAGTTGAATGATGTGAGAGTATTTAGAGGAT